TATCTATATGTGTGTGTGTGTGTGTGTGTGTGTGTGTGTGCGCGTGTGTGCGTGTGTCTTGCAAAGGCATACTGTTTCTCTTACGTATGGACAAAATATATTGGTTTCAAAATCTTCTCATAGACACAGGAATCATCGTACCAATAGCGTTATAAATAGATATATACACACAATAAAATGCCTGTACTACTGTCTCGAACCCACAGGAGTTGGCGTACGACTATCTCTTTGGCCGCGCACTGATCCAAGTGTTTGAGAATCGCAACATCAATCAGATGTTGCCTCCGTTTCTGGCGCAGGAAATCGAAAAACGGGCCATAGCACAGGTACAGTAGTTGTCTGTTCAATGTCTTACATATGTCATTCCGTTTATTATTGTCTATTTGCCCATTTTACAGGTACAGTAGTTGTCTGTTTAATGTCTTTCCTCTGTCATTGCGTTTGTTCTTTTCTTTTGGTCCATTGCACAGATACAGATATTGTCTGTTTATATATAGACCTGTGAACATCATTAAAACATTCACCTTACAATACCTACACCCCCCCACATACCCAGACTATAGTCGCCGAGCGCATCTTCAAACACTTGGGGGCTGCCTCCAAGAACGATGTGGTGGACCTCTACGGCCAACTGATCAATGTGCTGTTTGAAACACGGCACGACAGCTGCACTGATCTCTTTGTGTCTGTCATCACTGGCGTTCCCATAGTTCTGCAAGACGAGTATGTCCGTGTATGGAAGTGTGGGTGAATTTATGTATATACATATTTACATGAGCTGGAGTTGGTGTGTGTGTGTGTGTCGTATGTATGTAAGTATGTATATATGTATGTATGTATGTATGTATGTATGTATGTATGTATGTATGTATGTATGTAATTATTTACGTATGCAATTATGTATATATGTATGTATGTATGTATATCATTTGAGTTACATCATGTTTCCCTACGTAGTATTGGAGCTACACATGTAGATTCATTCATTTTACGATACACTACAAGCCCTGGGGTAAATACACTCTACTCAGACTTCTTAATTCCCCGCATATAATTTAGCAACCTCATGCATATCCATCGATTTAGGGTTTCAGGGTTTAGGTTTTTAAATGTGTACTCGTGCGTATTCATCGTAAATGTGTGACATATGTACTCTGCTCTTACTGCGTTGTCGTCATGTACACCAATGTAACCTCGTACGTATATATATATATACGCTACTCGAATTGCTTTAACGCGTTCTAGAACAATCTAATCTAATTTGCATGACATATACACACAACTCCAATTACGTTATCGTCATCTATATTGTCATCTATACTAATAAAGCCTAATACTTATGACATATATATATTTATTTAATGGCCTCATCATTAACAATAACCTCATATTTTGTGACCTATATATATACCCCTTCATTTACCAGTAATGCCCTGGGTAGTCCGAAAGTGTCGACTAAGGACAGAGGTGAGGTATCTGGTGACGCACACCTCAACGCCACCAGCAGCGAACGATGCAGTCTCGTTAGAGCCATGGGCCACTTGCGCATGAAGACCTTCCCCATGAAAGACCTCGAGGCCTGTGTGAGGTGTGGCAGAGATAATGGACGTGTGTTTTTACTCACGAATGAATATATAGATACGTATATTAACACGCTTATATATATATATATATATATATAAATANATATATATTTATATATATATATATATGTGTGTGTGTGTGTTAATTATTTATTATAT